TGATCACTGTGTCCTACGGACACAGCTAATCACGTGATGTGGTAAAAGGCCAATCACAGCGGCCTTTTACCACGTGATCAGCCGTGTCCAATGACACGCTGATCACCGGGAAATGCAATTACTGGTTCTCGGCTGCACTTTCCTCACACTGTCAGAGCGTGAGGAAAGTACTGCTGATAACCGGCAGTTGTCTGAGCAGGGATCGGCACCGATCATCATCATTGGATCACTGATGATCGGTGCCCAGCAGTGCCACCCAACAGTTCCGCCCACAAGTGCCCAGCAGTGCAACCCACCTGTGCCCAGCAGTGCCCACCAGTGTCCTCCACCAGTACCCATCAGTGCAGCCTAGCAGTGCCGCCAGTCAGTGCCCAGCAATGCCGCCAGTCTGTGCCCAGCAGTGCCTCCAGTCAGTGCCCTATCAGTGCCCACTATCAGTACCCATCATTAGTGCCAGCTCATCAGTGCCGCCTATCAGTGCCAACTATCAGTACCCATCATCAGTGCCAGCTCATCAGTGCCGCCTATCAGCGTTGCCTATCAGTGCCACCTCATTAGTGCTGCCTATCAGTGCCGCCTATCAGTGCCCATCAGTGCTGCCTATCAGTGCAGCCTCATCAACGCATATCAGTGAAGGAGAAAAATTACCTGTTTGCAAAATTTTACAATAGAAACAAAGAAACTTTTTTTTTTTTAATTTTTTGCTTTTTTTTCACTCACATCACAAGAAATAAAACACCCAGTGGTGAGTAAATACCAAAAGAAAGCTCTATTTGTGAGAAAAAAATGATAAAAATTTCATGTGAGTACAATGTTGCATGACCGCGCAATTGTCATTCAAAGTGTGACAGCACTGAAAGCTGAAAATTGGCCTGGTAAGGAAGGGGGTATAAGTGCCCGGTTGGCACGTGGAGAAGCTAACGGCCATCCTGTTAGACACCCACCCAAAGTTCTTGCAGATCTGGCACCCCTGATGTGGCCCAACCGTCTAGATTTGACCAGACCCTGGACTCTCCTGGCGTGATCCCCTGGAGCCCTTTCTTTGTCTTTACTATCCTTGTTTCTCTTTTCTTTTTTTTCTCTTTCTTTCTTTCCTCTGTTTTTGTCAGTCTTCATGCTATTTGCGCTGATTGTAATACTCCTAGAGAATGGTACCTGCAATGTTTTGTATACCTGTCGGACTTTCTCGAGAGTCCTTGGTGTAGAGTACTGCAGTGCGTCCACTGAGGCTCCGTGTTCAGCTTTTCCTACCCTCTGTACCTCTGTATGCAATTTTTGTGATTATCTTTGGCCTTCGCCTACTAGCTGATTGGTCATTACTTGTTTGCTAATAAAGCAACTTATAAGGTTTCATTCCATCTCTTTAAGTATTGTGTTTATGTACTCAGTTTCTCTCTTTGTCAATACTTCAGTGCATTTATGTCCTTCATCAGAAGAATTGTACACCTTATTCTTTTGCGTCTGTGATCTTACTTTTGACTGTGTCTTTGTTGTTGTGTTGTCTATAATAAAATCCATTGTAAAAGAAAATATGTGTTTGCAAATTCTTACAAATAAAACATGCTACAGGAAAATCTCTGTTTGCACTTGTAAATAAATTTAATCTGCAGTTTTATAAACTAGTGGATCTAGCACATAGGAGTGGAGTCATTCAAAAAGACCTATGGGAATATATTAGAACTAGGCACCCTAGAATGCCAACATTCTATGCACTTCCCAAAATTCACAAAGATATTAAACAATCCTTCTGGTAGACCTATTATTTATTTCAGGTACTTATATAGTGCCGTCAATTTACGCAGCGCTTTACATATATATTGCTCATTCACATCAGTCCCTGACCCTCAAGGGGCATACAATCTAAGGTCCCTAACTCACATTCATACATACACATACTAGGGACAATTTAGACAGGATCCAATTAACCTACCAGCATGTCTTTGGAGTGTGGGAGGAAACTGGAGTACCTGGAGGAAACCCATGCAGGCACAGGGAGAACATGCAAACTCCAGGCAGGTGGTGCCGTGGTTGGGATTCAAACCAACAACCCTAGTACTGCCAGGTGGAAGTGCTAACCATTTAGCCACTGGTTGTATTTCAGAAGGTATTAGTCAGGTAATAGATCACTATCTCAGATCTCATGTTGTATGTAGTGGTGCACCAAAATGAAGATTCGGGTGCTGAAACCGGAAATTCAAAATCCACATGGCCGAAAACCGAAACCGAAGTGTGCAGTTTTTAAAAATGAATATATGTTTTTTGGAAAAAAATACACCTTGATTAAAAAAAAAAATATACCCCAATTGTTTTGTAAAATATGAGAGAAGATGTTAAAATAAATAGATACCCAACATGTCACGCCTTAAAATTGCGCACGCTCATGGAATGGTGTGAAACTGCGGTACTTAAAAATCTCCATGGGTGATGCTTTAAAAATTTATACATGTTAGCAGTGTAAAGTTACAGAGTAGGTCTAGTGTGAGAATTATTGCTTTTGCTCTGACATTCGTGACGATACCTCACATGCGTGGTTTGAACACCATTTACATATGTGGGCAAGGCCTATGTATGCGTTCACCACTATGCGCGAGCACGGGGGGGACGGGGGCACGTTAAACATTTTTTACAAACTTTTCTTTAATGTTTTGGTTTTCTGTGCACTGTTCCTTTTTAAAAAATTGTAATCACTTTTATTCTTATCACAAGAAATGCTTGCATACCTTGTGATAGAAATAATAAGTGACATGTCCTCTTTATGGAGAGATATGGAGTCAATAAGACCCCCACATCTCTCCTCTGCAATGTAAAGCATTAGATAAAAAAAAAGCATTAATCTAGTGCTTTAAAAAAAAAATGGCTGGAACCGGAAGTGACATCTCTCCGGACCTCCAAGAACATAGAGATGTGTGGCGGCCATCTTTCCTGCTCTCATCTCTATGCCCAACGCCGGGATCGATGGTTTCTCAGGTAAGATTGAACTACAGAGCGGCGGTCTGGCGGGCAGCTGACGGCGATGGGTGGAGGCGAGGGGCGGGGCTTTTTCGGCACCTGTATCGGTGCCTTTTTTCATTTCGGCCGACAGCTGAAAGGGGTGTTTTCGGCCGAAACGTTTCAGCCATTGGAATTTGGTGCATCCCTAGTTGTAAGCTTAGCATCTTATGTAAAAGATTCTATTCATTTTCTAAAAACTAAAAAATCTTGAAGTACCTCAATCTGCCTATTTAGTAACGGTTGATGTAGAAACAGTGGTTCTCAACCTTTCTAGCGCCGCGACCCCTTAATACAGTTCCTCATGTTGTGGTGACCCCCCCCCAAATAAAATTATTTTCGTTGCTACTTCATAACTGTAATTTTGCAGTAGGAGGAATAGTGCCACGTCATTGGTGTCATTGGGAGGAATAGTGCCCCATCATTGGTATCAGTGGGAGGAATAGTGCCCCTTTCATTGGTGTCAGTGGGAGGAATAGTGCCCCTTTCATTGGTGTCAGTGGGAGGAATAGTGCCCTGTCATTGGTGTCAGTGGGAGGAATAGTGCCCTGTCATTGGTGTCAGTGGGAGGAATAGTGCCCCGTCATTGGTGTCAGTGGGAGGAATAGTGTCCCGTCATTGGTATCAGTGGGAGGAATAGTGCCCCGTCATTGGTATCAGTGGTAGGAATAGTGCCTCGTCATTGGTGTCAGTGGGAGGAATAGTGCCCCGTCATTGGTATCAGTGGGAGGAATAGTGCCCCATCATTGGTGTCAGTGTGAGGAATAGTGTCCCATCATTGGTGTCAGTGGGAGGAATAGTTCCCCATCATTGGTATCAGTGGGAGGAATAGTGCCTCATCATTGGTATCAGTGGGAGGAATAGTGCCCCATCATTGGTGTCAGTGGGGGGGAATAGTGCCCCATCATTGGTATCAGTGGGAGGAATAGTGTCCCATCATTGGTATCAGTGGGAGGAATAGTGCCCGATCATTGGTGTCAGTGGGAGGAATAGTGCCCCATCATTGGTATCAGTGGGGGGGGAATAGTGTCCCCATCATTGGTGTCAGTGGGAGGAATAGTGCCCCGTCATTGGTGTCAGTGTGAGGAATAGTGCCTCGTCATCGGTGTCAGTGTGAGGAATAGTGCCCCGTCATCGGTATCAGTGGGAGGAATAGTGCTCCATCATCGGTGTCAGTGGGAGGAATAGTGCCCCATCATCGGTGTCAGTGGGAGGAATAGTGCCCCATCATCGGTGTCAGTGGGAGGAATAGTGCCTCATCATCGGTATCAGTGGGAGGAAAAGTGTCCCATCATCGGTATCAGTGGGAGGAATAGTGCCCCATCATAGGTGTCAGTGGGAGGAGGAATAGTGCCCCATCATTGGTGTCAGTGGGGGGAATAGTGCCCCATCATAGGTGTCAGTGGGAGGAATAGTGCCTCATCATTGGTATCAGTGGGAGGAATAGTGCCCCATCATTGGTATCAGTGGGAGGAATAGTGCCCCATCATTGGTATCAGTGGGAGGAATAGTGCCCCATCATTGGTGTCAGTGGGAGGAAATAGTGCCCCATCATTGGTATCAGTGGGAGGAGGAATAGTGCCCCGTCATTGGTATCAGTGGGAGGAATAGTGCCCCGTCATTGGTGAATCAGTGGGAGGAGGAATAGTGCCCCATCATCGGTGTCAGTGGGAGGAATAGTGCCTCATCATCGGTATCAGTGGGAGGAATAGTGCCCCATCATTGGTATCAGTGGGAGGAATAGTGCCCCATCATTGCTGTCAGTGGGAGGAATAGTGCCCCATCATTGGTGTCAGTGGGAGGAGGAATAGTTCCCCATCATTGGTGTCAGTGGGGGGAGGAATAGTGCCCCATCATAGGTGTCAGTGGGGGGAATAGTGCCCCATCATTGGTATCAGTGGGAGGAATAGTGCCCCATCATTGCTGTCAGTGGGAGGAATAGTGCCCCATCATTGGTGTCAGTGGGAGGAGGAATAGTGCCCCATCATTGGTGTCAGTGGGGGGAGGAATAGTGCCCCATCATAGGTGTCAGTGGGGGGAATAGTGCCCCATCATTGGTGTCAGTGGGGGGAATAGTGCCCCATCATAGGTGTCAGTGGGGGGAATAGTGCCCCATCATAGCTGTCAGTGGGGGGAGGAATAGTGCCCCATCCTTGGTGTCAGTGGGGGGGGAGGAATAGTGCCCCATCCTTGGTGTCAGTGGGGGGAGGAATAGTGCCCCATCCTTGGTGTCAGTGGGGGGAGGAATAGTGCCCCATCCTTGGTGTCAGTGGGGGGAGGAATAGTGCCCCATCGTTGGTGTCAGTAGGGGGAGGAATCGATGCCCCATCCTTGGTGTCAGTGGGGGAGGAATAGTGCCCCATCCTTGGTGTCAGTGGGGGAGGAATAGTGCCCCATCGTTGGTGTCATTTGGGGGAGGAATAGTGCCCCATCGTTGGTGTCATTTGGGGGAGGAATAGTGCCCCTTCGTTGGTGTCAGTGGGAGGAATAGTGTCCCATCGTTGGTGTCAGTGGGAGGAATAGTGCCCCATCATTGGTATTAGTGACACCAATGATGGGGCACTATTCCCACTGACACCAATGATACTTACCTTGCAGACCCCTGCTCCAGCCTGGGCTCGCTCGCTCCCTCCCTCTCCCATGGTACCGACACTTACCTGTCAGATGTCTTCCTTCTCCGGCCTCTCCTCCTCCTCTTCACTCGCTCGATCTTCGCGGTGTCGCTCGGCTCCTCCTCTCCAAGCTCCACCTCCTTGCCGGTGATTGGCCGCCTGTGTGCCTCTCCTGAGCTACAGTGCCGGCGGCCAATCACAGGCGAGGATTGATCTCGAGGTGTGTCCAGATGACAGGGGCGGCATGTCATCCCGCCCACACCTGGAGACGGCGGTGGCGGCGGCGGCGGCGGCGGCGGCCAGGAGCGGTGTCTCGGTTCCTAAGACCATCGGAAATATGTGTTTTCCGATGGTCTTAGGCGACCCCTGTGGAAGCGTCGTTCGACCCCCAAAGGGGTCGCGACCCCAGGTTGAGAACCGCTGATGTAGAATCTCTCTATAACTGCATTCCACACAATAAAGGAATGATTGCGGTTAAACATGTTTTGCAACAAAGGGGAGTATATGAATGGAGACCAGGGGCGGACTGACCACTCGAGCACTCGGGCACTGCCCGAGGGCCCGGGGTAAGTAGGGGGCCCCATGAGATGCCCCTGGAACCTTTTCATTGGATTTTTCATAGGCTTTTTTGGGTTTGGGTGAGGACACAGGGGCCCCATGATCCCCTATTGCCCAGGGGCCCCATGAGTTGTCAGTCCGCCCCTGATGGAGATTCAATGAATTTATTTTGACTATGCTTGACTACATTTTGAATCACAATTTTTTTTTTGTTCAAAGGCTCCCACTACCTCCAGGTCCAGGGTGTGGCTATGGGTACTTATTGCGCTCCCTTATATGCCAACCTGTACCTGGGGGTGTGGGAGCAGGGTTTTGTGTCCAGTGAATCTCTCTCTAAGTACACAACATATCATTATTTGGCAAAGATATATAGATGATATTTTTTTTCGTCTGGGATGGTCCTGACGTATTGTTGAAAAAATGTCTGGAAATAATGTATCAGAATGCCTCAAATCTTTTTTTTCACTATGATTTACCATCAAGAAAAAATTAACTGTTTAGACATCAATATTTCTAAGACATTGTAGCAAAGTGTCATTTCTTCAGTGTTGTCACATGAAAAGATAGAATCAAATATTGACAAAAATGTGAGGGGTGGACTCACTTCTGGGACTTCTGCGAGATACTGTATTCAATGTAAAAAATGTTCTCCCTTTTTGGATTGTTATAATTTGCTGTCCAGATTATGTATTAACATTTTCAATTTGTGTTAAATGTAATGTACATGATTTCACTGTACAAATGGATCTTTTCTTTTTCCTCCTGGCAGGATCATATTGATGTGTCCGGCATGGTAAGGGTCTCCCTTGTTCTCTGGGGGGACCTTTTATTGTGGCTGTGGGGAGCGGTGGGGCGGGTTGTCCTTCCCCTGTCTCTCGTGCACTTTGGTGCAGTCCGCAGTGCTCCCGTGTCGGTGGTGTGTTCTCCAACATGGCGCTGTTCCTGGTCTCCCGAAATATGTAGTTCCGGAGTCGGATATGACATCAATGCGCATGGTGCTTTCGTGCCTACTCAGTTGAGATGAACACAGGGGACCACATGATGGGCGCCATCTTCCTCTCCAGCAGATTCACTCTGAATATGGGAGGAAATCTTATGCATCACACCACAACTAGGACTCTATAAGACTAGGTTCACATATGTGCGAGTGGTGCGGCTGCGGATCCGCATGAAAATCCGTGGGCACCACCCACACAGAGGAATGTGGACCCACGGGCGGGTGCCATTAGTTCTAATGGCATGCCGCCCACACACCGGAAAACACAACCGTACTGGGAATCGAGGTTCTCGTGCGGGCTGCGTTTTCAGAAGAAGTGGACTTCTTCCCTGCGTGTCCCGGGGCACGGGAGTCCATTCAAATGAATGGGCTCTTGTGCCCGCGCAAAACGCAGCCCGCACAGCTGCATATATGTGAACCAGGGGTGATAGCCAGTAGGGTGCAATATTGCTGCCAGGACATAGATGCACGGAACACCTTGGATTGTGTGTGGTCTTCAGTTACTTCAGCTGTTCAGTATAAGGCTGCTGGTATGAAACTTTTACAAGGGTATGCAGAGCCACATCTGAGAACCATTCTATAATCTATGCACTGATATACATTGCTCACATTACTACTCAACAGAACAATTAAAGTGTTACTATACCCACAACAGTACAATCAGTCTGTATATACAGTAAAGCATGCTTGTTATACTCACTGTGCAACCTAAGGGGTTAATCCTCCGCATTGTGTAAAAAATTTGATCCTGTCTTCTCTGATCTTCCCCTTCTTCCATTGTTCCCTAATTACCTCCTGATTGAACAGAGCTTTGGAGTCACTCTGCTCATGCTTAGTTTAGTGTGTATTGCTAGAGAGTTGTTTTTTCTTGGGAGAGTGCATGTAATCATCAGAGGGTCAATCAGCACTGTCCAGACAGAGGGGTCAGGGGTTATACAGCCTAATAGGACAATCAGGAGAGAATGAAAATTCCTCCTACAAGCTTTAACCTGTGCTCTGCTGGACACTGATAGAAGTCACAAGACTGCTATATACTGCTGATGAGAAAAGGTATTTAGCAGTTTATATTTACTAAAATAATTGCATTTCCATGTTGTGTGTACTGTGGGAGATATAGTGAATGCAGGGTCCTGGGTTTAGTAACATTAACATTCACTATATCCAGTCTCCCAGGACCCTGCATTCACTATATCTGGTCTCTCCAGACCTGGCATTCACTATATCTGGTCTCCTCGGACCCTGCATTCACTATATACTCTCCCCCACTGCATTCACTATATCTGGGCCCTGCATTCACTATATCTGGTCTCCCTGGACCCTGCATTCACTATATCCGCTCTCCCCGGGCCCTGCATTCATTATATCCGGTCTCCCCGGACCCTGCATTCACTATATCCGGTCTACCCCGGACCCTGCATTCACTATATCTGGTCTCCCCGGACCCTGCAATCACTATATCTGGTCTCCCCGAACCCTGCATTCACTATATCCGGTCTCCCCGGACCCTGCATTCACTATATCCGCTCTCCCCGGACCCTGCATTCACTATATCCGGTCTCCCCGGACCTGCATTCACTATATCTGGTCTCCCCGGACCCTGCATTCACTATATCCGCTTTCCCCGGACCCTGCATTCACTATATCCAGTCTCCCCAGACCCTGCATTCACTATATCCAGTCTCCACAGACCCTGCATTCACTATATCCGCTCTCCCCAGACCCTGCATTCACTATATCCACTCTCCCCGGACCCTGCATTCACTATATCCACTCTCCCCGGACCCCGCATTCACTATATCCGCTCTCCCCGGACCCCGGCATTCCTGCATTCACTATCACTTTCCGGTCTCCCCTGGACCCCGCATTCACTATATCCGCTCTCCCCGGACCCTCCGTGCATTCACTATATCCGGTCTCCCCGGACCCTGCATTCACTATATCCGGTCTCCCCGGACCCTGCATTCACTATATCTGGTCTCCCCGGACCCTGCATTCATTATATCTGGTATCCCCGGACCCTGCATTCACTATATCTGCTCTCCCCAAACCCTGCATTCACTATATCTGGTCTCCCCAGACCCTGCTTTCACTATATCCGGTCTCCCTGGACCCTGCATTCACTATATCCGGTCTCCCCGGACCCTGCATTCACTATATGTGATCTCCCACAGTACCCTGAACATGGTAATGCAATTATTTTAGTAAATATAATCTGCTAAATACCTTTTCTCATCAGCAGTTAGAGCAGTCTTGTTCAGCAGAGCACTGGTTAAAGCTTGTAGGAGGAGTTTTCATTCTGCTCTAGGAGGATGTGAAACCTCTGACCCTCTGTCTGGACAGCGCTGATTGGCCCTGTGCTGATCACATGCACCCTCCCAAGAAAAAAAAAACCCTCTCTAGCAATACACACCAAACTGAGCATGTGCATGTGACCACGGGTTCAGTCTGTATCAGGTGGTCATTGCAACAAGAGGAGGATCAGAGAAGACAGGATCAAACAGCCTTTTTACACAATGCAGACAATTACCCCTTAGGTTCCACAGAGAGTATAACAAGCACGCTTTACTGCAAATACAGACTGATGTTACTGTTGTGGGTTTAGTAACACTTTAAGTCACATTGTTTACTTTGCCTACCCGATGGGAAGGCTACATAGTCAGTGTTCTAGGACTGGACAAAATTCTAATACAAACACAGCACATTCCACACACCCGACAGTCTACATGACTAATCCAGGACTGGAAAGGCCGCTATTGCAAAACTTTATCACTCATCAGATGGCAAGCCCAGAGCCCTCACCAGCACATCAGCTGCTTCCTACAACAGACGCCTACAGCCTGGTCCTCCACTGCAATGAAGTGCAAAGGAGAACGCTCATTGAATCTATGGACTCAGCTGGGAGGCATGAGGCATGTGTCCCCCTCAATCAGAGGCAAATTTACTTATGTTTTTCTAGTTAACCCACCTACTTTTCTGGTTGAATGTTTAAAGTGTAACTCCATTCTCACGAGAAAAATATAACAAATAGAAAAAATAATATAGTATATCCACTTCCTGACTGGTTGCCTGATTTGTACTGCAGACGGGTGGCTTGTACAGCGGAGTACTAGGATGTCACTGCCTGCTTCCTGGTTAAGGGGGCGCGCATGTGTGCCCCCTTGCCAATACTCTCCGTGATTGTAAACGTTGGGAGTCTGTCAACAAGTCCCGGGCAAAGATACACGGCCAGGACCTGCTGATTGGCCGTGTCCAATCACAGCCCAGAGCCCTGTGTTAACAATCAACATATATTTTTACATATATTTGTAAACGCATTAAAAAAAATTTAGATTTCAACATGCAGTATATATATTTATTGAAATATGTTAAATATGGCCAAAATTGTAGTATTTCAAATATATTTTTCTTCCATATGGGTTGAGGGTTAGGGACTGATGTGAATGTACAATATATATGTAAAGAACTGCATAAATTGACAGCGCTATATAAGTACCTGAAATAAATTTTAACCGCATCCCGCCCGCCATATAGTACAATGACGGGCGCAAGGTGGTTCTCTCATTCTAGGAGGATGTCATATGACGTCCTCTCCCATTCTCACCATGCATGCGCGGCTACGGGAGTGCACAGGGGGGCGATCGGCGGTGCGCTGTGTCCCTCGGACACAGCGGATCACCGATCCACGGAAAGAGCCAAAGATGTCGGCTCGGTCATGTGATCAGCTGTGTCCAATCACAGCTGATCGCATGTAAACAGGGAAATGCCGGTTATCGGCATTTCTCTCCTCACGAGCCGTCACGCTGACAGCTTGTAGGGAGAGGAGAGCCGGTAATCGGCATTCCTTGGAGGGGACATGTGCACTGATCATCAGTGTAGCCCCAGCAGTGCCACCTGTCAGTGTCCATCAGTGCCAGCTCTCAGTGCTCATACATGCCACCTGTCAGTGTCCATCAGTGCCAGCTCTGTGCTCATCCATGCCACCTGCCAGTGCCCATCAGTGCCACCCAGTACACATCAATGCCACATATCAGTGCCCATCTGAGCTGCCTTTCAGTGTCACCCGTCAATGTTAATCAGTGCTGCCTACCAGTGCCTCCTCAGCACAGCAGCCTCATTAGCGCACACCAGTGAAGGAGAAAACTCTTATTTACAAAAACGAAGAAAAAAAATTTTCTTTTCAAAATTTTCAGTGGTTTTTGGTTTAAGAAAAAATAAAAACCCAGAGGTGATTAAATACCATCAAAATAAAGCTCTGTCACAAAAAAAAAAATCCTAAAAATTTCATATGGGTACAGTGTTGCATGACTGCGCAATTGTCAAAGTGTGACAGCGCTGAAAGCTGAAAATTGGCCTGGGCAGGAAGGGGGTATAAGTGCCGTGTAGGCTTGTGGTTAAAATGTGTGTAAGAAAAAAATTAAAACTTGCCTTGGTAGGCAAGTTGCTGAGACAAGGAAAGGGCAATGAGAACACCTGGTTTTGTTGGGAACCGTATTCCAAGCAACGTACAGTCTGTGCCCCGCAATATTTGTGTTCTATCACACTGGTAGCACTTCTACATCCGTTATCTGAAAGTGTCCTAAATAACTTGGCAGGTGAAATATTTTAGTGTTTATCCTCTTGTGATTTCCTCCCTTGAAGAGCTGCTCCATGATCCAGGATTAATAGTTGAAGTGTTTATTCTGTAGCGTGGGACACAACAAGCTGTTTCAGGCAGCTTCTATCTGCAAATATACTGAACATCTCCTGCAGACAGGGTGAACAAACTCCTTATAAGGGCACATTGCAGTGCAGTCGCTGTCTGTGGATTTCCAAAGTGATTATACAGCATCAGGGGCGGACTGACCATTTGGAAACTCAGGCACTGCCCGAGGGCCTGGGGTCAGTAGGGGGCCCCATGAGATGCCCCTGGTCCCTTTTTCATAGGCTTTTTTGTTTGGGCAAGGACACAGGGGCCCCATGATCCCCTATTGCCCGGGGGCCCCATGAGTTGTCAGTCCGCCCCTGTACAGCATGTATAACTAAACTTGTCCCAAAACTTGGGAAGAGCTAGAACTGAAGAGATGGGGGTTTTAAAGCAGAACTTCACGCCACCATGGTGTATGCACGTTTGCAACATCTCACAAACTGCTTTTTATTGTGCGACAGCCATTTTCAAGATGTTGCACATACTTGGTGAGGGGTCTCTGCCAGAGACCCATGGTTTATCTGTATGCACAGGGGGTCTGGAAAATGCAAACACAACAGGGGCATTTCTGCCAGGTCTACAGCATTCATGGCTTGTCTATGCACAAGCCGCAACTCCAGTAAAGATGGTGGCACTGGAGAGGATGGGTGAAGGGAGAGCAGTTTTTTTTCTCCTTCAAGAATAGAAGGTTGATGCTATTGTCTAGAGCAGTGGTCCTCAAACTGCAGCCCAGAAGCTGGATGTGGCCCTTTGCTTGCTTTTATCTAGCCCTTGGGCCTTTATTCCTGACACAAGGAAAATGATTCCGCCAGCTGACACCAGTGACGGGGGGGGGGCACGATTCCGCCAGCTGACACACCAGCTGACAGTGACGGGTGGGGGGGGGGGGCCACGATTCCGCCAGCTGACACCAGCGACGGGGGGGGGGGGGGGCACGATTCCGCCAGCTGACACCAGCGACGGGGGGGGGGGCACGATTCCGCCAGCTGACACCAGTGACGGGGGGGGGGGGGGGGGCACGATTCCGCCAGCTGACACCAGTGACGGGGGGGGGGCACGATTCCGCCAGCTGACACCAGTGACGGGGGGGGGGGCACGATTCCGCCAGCTGACACCAGTGACGGGGGGGGGGGGGCACGATTCCGCCAGGACACCATGACGGGGGGGGGGGGCACGATTCCGCCAGCTGACACCAGTGACGGGGGGGGGGGGGGCACGATTCCGCCAGCTGGGTGGGGGGGGGGGGGGCACGATTCCGCCAGCTGACACCAGTGACGGGGGGGGGGGGGGGGGGGGGGGACGGGGGGGGGGGCACGATTCCGCCAGCTGACACCAGTGATGGGGGGGGGGGGGGCACGATTCCACCAGCTGACACCAGTGACAGGGGCACACTATTTTTAATTTTATTGTTCCAAAGCAAATATACCTTTGCACCTTGTTACTGACTAGTGTTCCTCTCTCCTTTGCTCAGCTGGTGTGACTCAGTGCTGACAGAGGGGAAACATTACATTTCTATAGTCTGGGCACAGCTGCAATTTAATTATATAGCAGTACACCAAGTGATACCGGAACCCTCTACAGTAGCTGAGCTGCAAGTAATGTGAAGAAATTCCATCTTCAAAAGAAGAATTTTACACCTGGTATCCAGTTTATTTTTAGAAGACTGGCAGGCTGGAAAAGACCTGGTGAAGAGCTGTGACTTCATTTAATTTTCATTGCGCTGGAATACCAATAGCTACAGAGGTGATTAAGGATTTTACTTTTATGTTCAAACCATGCAACTAGATAAGGGGGTGTCAAACTGGCAGCCCTCCAGCTGTTGAGAAAGTCCCACCATGCCTATGCGAGTCATGCTGGTAACAGTCAATCTTGCCAAATGGAAAGTCCCACGAGGCATTGCAAGATTGACAGTTCCAAGCATGACTCAAAGGCATAGTGAGACTTGTAGTTTTGCAACAGCTGGAGGGCTGACACTATTAGGGAGGCAAGGACATGAAGGCCATCCATTTTAGACACCAACCCATTAAGAAACTGCAATATTTCTCTATAAGATTGAATTTAGTTGGAGGGGGACAAGACATGATCACCCCATTCATACCAATTTGCCTTCATTTAGAA